TATCTGCTTCGTTCGATGGATTTCGTCTTTCTCTTCGTCCATGATCTTTCTGCCGTCTACGCTTTTCCTCTGAATCTCTTCCTCTCTTTCCGTCTATCCGTTTCGTTCCATGGCTTTTCTAATTTCCCGTCTTCCTCTCTCTATGCCCACCCTCCTTCTCTGCTCTGGCTTGGTCGAAGGGATTATCTAGCCAGGCAAAACACGAGCTCCGGGAAGAGGTAAGAAAGGAAAGAACCGCGAATAGAAAGATTCAGGAAAAAAGGATCGCAGCTGCCACGCACGGGTGGTTCTATCGAAAGGCCCGATTCGTTCTTTCCTTTCCCTCCGTCCACTCCCCTGCCGAATCCATGCGGATAGACGCATTTTCGTTTCTAGCGCGCGCCCGCGCGCGATCGCAGGGTGGTTCTCGGTTTTGTGTACACGCGTGCCTTCCGCTGCGCATACTTTGATTCGTGTTTTGGTAAGGTGTGCGTAGACTTTTCGAACGCTCCACAGTGTATTGGTATTGTGAACTAGTTCTGAAACCGAGTTAGCTCATTTCGCGGAAACACGGAAGCGAGACTTCTCGGTGCACCTTTCAGTTTAAATACTCGATTAAACACGACATTAACAGCTTCAATTTCCACGCTTTTGTATTTCCGCTGAGTAATTTTCTATATTACTACACAAACATCGGGAAACTACTTTCTACCCCAATCTTTTGGTACACCGTGACACATATCTACATTCCCAAAATATAAACTTACGAAAGGTTCCAAACATTAAAGCTTAAATAGCTGTAAAAGATTCGGCTGAAAAGACTCTCAATCCGCTAACTGTTTCGTAAAATTCCCCTCTGTTACAGTTTGTATATTTCCCGATCATCGGCGATGTTCAAAACAGCGAGAAGTTTCGCCGAATCGACGCAGGAATACTCGGAAACAACAGAAACCAGGGAATTGTAGAAGCAAACAAGGACTCATCATACGAAACACGAGGCGTCGCGGATATCGGAAAATCCATGTATGTATGACATCGATATAACACGAGTATCAATCTTAATTTCATTTTCCGAACAGTTTGTCGTATTCGTGGCCTTCTGTTTCGTTTACAGGGTTGTTCGAAGGGGCGGAAGGTCGAGCGAGGGAAAGGGTGCCGTTGAAGTAAGTCAGTAACTCAACGGGAATTCGCCGGGGGCTGGCCGGGGATCGATCAGCGCTGATGTAATTATCCAAACGCTGAATTTTTTATCGCGGTGAAACAATAACGTATTTTCAGACCAAACAACATCGGCGGCCGCGGAGACTCGCAGAAAACCGCGCCGCTACGCTCGCTCGCTCGTCCACTTGTGCTTTCTGTTTGCGTAACGTGTAATAGAATAATCTGCGTTACGGGACGCAACTGCGGGGCAAAGTACGCGACCGCGCATCCGTCTTTTGTTTTTTCGCGTGCGGGATCCGCGCGCACGCGAGGACACTTCGCCCCGATAACGCGCGATTCGCCATTTTCATCGGACGGAATAACAACGGGCGTGAGCCACGGAAATCTTTCGTTACCTTCGCTTCGTTCGTACCGTGAACGCGCTGGAAATTCTTCGCTTACGCGGTGCGTTCGGAAAATATCTGGCAAACGCGAACGAACCGAATATAAATTAAATTAAACGCTTGATTTTTTAATATTATTCCGTTTAAATTGAATATTAATAGCTCGTGAAATAAACTTTGACAATATTAATCTATATACCGTCCATCTTTGTTCCCTTCGAATTCAGTTCACCTAATGTTGGTTAAAAACTTGGAAATCTGATGATGAGAATATTATTTACATTGATCGATCTTAGTTCTATATTGCTCGTTGTCAGTCAATAAAGAAGTTATACTGAAACATTGAAATAACGAATGTTTCTCTGAACAATGAAAAATTGAATGAATAAATGTTAAATGTAATGAAATGTTGGTAGTACAGGCTTGGTTAACACGTTGAATGCCATGGGAGTCACCGGTGACCCCCAGCCGAATCGAATTACTATAGTTCAGTTAGTGAAATAATAATTATTTGAAAACATTTTTATATTACGAATAATGCTACCTAAGACGTTGACATTCAGCTAGATCGCCATGTAATAATATAAATAATACAATTTAGTCAAATGATTTAATATTATATTCTTTTCATTTTGTGTCTTTTACTGTATGAAATCGTGCGGCATTCAACGTGTTAATGATTTTGAAAACGATGCGAAAATTTCACTGTAACACGATCGGTTTAGCGAACGTGATTAAGTTGAAGAGTTCCGTGGAAGAGCTGCGAGGTGTTTGAAAATAGAGTCCGCGAGGATGTTGGTTCACCGTGACGGAGTTTCGGGAGGGCCTTCGGGTCTGCAAAAAATAAGGGTAATCCAACACTACATGGAAACCACATTGCGCTTTGCCAAGCACAAGTCGTAGAATCAACAAATCCGCCGGGATTAGATAACATCCCCCGGGATTGGTGGCCCTTCGTTTATCCTCCGCCGAATTCTGAAGGGCCCGGCTTGTTGTCCCATCGGGTTATTGGTATCACTTAACGAAATCCGCGGCGAAATAGCTTTAAAAGCCCCCGCACTTTCGTCATCACGAGATTCAAATCGATTTTTCAAACCATTACCATGAATTTGCCGCGGCGGCAAAGCCCGAAAGAATATCATCCGAAAAATATTGGAAAAGAGACAAAGCCCGATGTATGCACGCTGCTAAAGTTGATTATAAACGTCTAGTATTTAGTTTCGATTGACGGTAATTCCTATTCAACTTGGATCTATAAAGACTCCATTGTTAACATTAAAAGTCTACGTTTCTTTCATAACAACAATACGAAATTCATATTTTAATGCATTCAAACGAATGAACTTTATATTCGAAATAAAATCTACTTAAGAGATCTTCACTTACAACGAAGATTCTATATTATCATCTATTACTAATCGCAATCTAAATACTCTCATTAACACTGGAACAACCGAGTTTAACATGAGTAATATGTAATCCTTATAAAAATTGTAACAATAGATTCTTTTTCGGTTTATTCACACATAAATCATAGTATCGAAGTTAAACTATTTGATTTTCACCTTTGAAGTATCAATAACTACAAAAATAAGGAAGCTGAGACCCGCCATTTTGACGGGCGCAGTTGTTCTAATGTTAACTTCAAGGAGAATTAACCTTCGGTTCGGTTAGAATAACAACCGAAAAGAGGTCGCTTAAAGGAGTCTCCTCCAATAAATGTATCTCTTCCTATAAATCTCCATTGAATGGAGGCAAACCGGCGGCTAGCGTGTTTTCCCCGAAAGAACGCAGGCAAAAAGTGGCGAGTACAATGAATCTGCACGATACAAGCTGGGGATGAAAGAGGAACGCTACAAAGCGGGGCCGTGTTACGATACATATTCGACAAGATCGAAGTTGATTTTTCCATAGGTATAAGGCCATCAGCGTTTTTTTTCCGTCCATTTTCTTCGTCGACCCCTCTCGCCCCCGCGTCGATGCTCGCCCACCGTCCCCGTTCGTTACCCTTTCTCTTTTCGCGACGCGGACACACGGCTGTGCACCGGCGTTTTGTTTTTCGCGTTCCGGCCAGGTACTAAAAAGGAATAGGTGAAAACTGTTAATTGGTTTCGCGGTGAAAATACGACGGTGTAGCGGCCGGTCGGCGCCGATACATTTTAAAGCGTGCGCGCGCGTACGCGATAGCGCGTAGGATCCATCGAATTCGATAGCAATGGGATCGAGCATGATGCGTACGCGCGAGATATTGAGATTCCTGAATGGGTCTGAGGGAAATTTGAATCCTTTATGATCACGATTCGTTGTGCAATGAAAACGACGTTCGTCGTACTTTTGTTTCATCGATTGAAATCCGATTGATTGAATTGAAATTGCAACGGGAATATTCGTTTCGGCGAGGAATACGTGTTGTAAAAAGATTAACACGTTGAATGCCATGGAGCTCACCGGTGGTCCCCAACCAAATCGAGTCAATATAATTCACTCAATTAAACGGTGATTATGTGAAAACATTTCTATGTTATATATAATATTACCTAGTGCAGTGACATTCAACAAGACAAATGAGTAATAACAACAACGTAATTCAATTCAATAATTCAATATTATATCTTTTCTCATTTCATGTATTCTGCTCCGTGAAATGGTATGGCATTCGACGTGTTAAACAGTTATTAGTGCAACGTATGAATCATCTGAATTTGTCAGTGGAAAATTTTTACGAGGGTATACGATTGTTGAAATCTATTTACTGGGATTCGAGAGATAGGTATGTGAAAAATGCGAAGTTTGCGGTATTGCATTGGACATTTTATTAGTTTAGACTGTGGACAATTAGGTTTGGACACTTGTAATGTGGGTAATGATCACGGGTGTGTCGGTGGTATTCTCGAAGTGTGTAATAATTTAATCGTTTAACGATGAAAAGTATCACAATGAAAATGAATAAAAGATGGGAATAAAGTACAATGAATTAACACTAATACTACCGGACGAGTTAAAATGATTTATTCTTTCGCAATTATTGCGAAAGTAAAGACATTTTGATAAATGTACTCTTGTAATCGTATAAGAACACATATGTTAAACAAATTGACTGCCCGGTAGTTTTATTGTTAATTTGATCACGACTTGTATGCTCGTGAGACACTCGATCCCATTGCCAGACCGAAGCGTGGGTACGCGTGCACGCGTATATGCCCGATACGAGCGTCAAGGCGTGTATCGTCCCAGCATGTCCGTCCAATTATGGAAAATTAATTGGCGATCAGTGACTCGGGGCGATGGAAACATAGTTCCGCGTCGAATAAACTTCCTTTGTGATTCCGATCAGCCTTTGACATCAGTGTAATAATTAAAGTAATTAACGTACGAGCCAATAAATTCGCGATCGTCGCGCGTCACCGCGTACGCGAGCGCGATAAACAATTATAGGCGGGGACACCCATGAAAATACGCCGACGAAAAGACAATTCTATCGTCTGCCGCGCCGGTTTTCGGAGAAATCAGTTATGTTTTTAATTAACGCTGAAATTCTTCGGTTACATCTAATGCTTGATCGCAAAATAATTCTCTTTGTTCGACGTAATCGATTGAACGATGGATAACCTAAGTGAACAAACTTTTAACATAAAAAAGACAATACGACGGTTCCAATGAGAATATGGAAAATATAAGAAAATGTGAACAAATTAACACCCCAACGATGTAAGTAATTACATTTGAAAAATTATTCAACTACTAAACGAATTCTTATCGACACACTACGAATCATACAAATTGAAAAGATGAAATTATGATTCTAAAGCTAATAATTTTCTAACAATATTTACTACAATATCTACAGGTAACAATCTTCTAAAAACGTCAAAGATTATTTCTAATAAGCATACAGCGAGTAATAAAATTACAACCCCTCGGCAGGGAAGTTTGTTCCTTCGATTCCCGGTGGGGAAGGGTAAACACCGATAAAGCTTGATATTAAAAAGGATTAAAAGAAAAATACAACACAGCGGAACAAGTCAAAGGAATCCGGAAAGTGTGAACATTAGCGAGTCACCGCAAATATTTTCCGGGCTGGATAGTCGCGCGACGTTTCCTCCTGAAGGGCAGCTATTCACGGTGTACCGCGGAACCCGTGCTTCCCTTAACCTATACCGTAAATATTGTTTCTCCCTCGAAAATCGTATACTCACGGTTCAGACTTCTAGTCAAAAGACGCCGAATCCTGCGGGGGGGAAAAAATCATAATCTAGCAGACGGAGGAAGTCCGAGCAACGTAGCCGTCGAGTTCCACGAGGATTAACTCAGTTGGTTATAGGATGCAAATATTTGGTTTCCTTGGGTCAAGACGGACGTTCCTTTTCCTTGCGTCACGGGAAACGCTTGTAAAATCAAAATGACCACGCGAGTTTTGAATAATCCGACATTGTTTAGTCGAAGGCATTTCGCGCTTCAATGTTTGATTTTTAAATATGGCGGCTGAGATAGAGTAAACAGGTATTTAATAGGTGTCAGTACGTGGTACTGGTGGTAGATTGTATCTATAGGATGTTATTGCACTGTAGAAGTAAAAGAAACTGGGCATGGTAAATATGAATTATTAAAACAATTGTTTTTTTTTAAGTATTCAATGTTTTAATTTGGAGTTGTATATAATAGTTTGAATTTAGTTCAATCATGTGCTATGCGACGCCATTTTGAAGCTTAGGAATGCAAAGAGTATTATCAAGGCTAATGCAATTACTAATAATTCAAAAGGAATTCTTTCACGTTCTGTTCTTAGTTTCAGATAATATACAAATATCTTAATTTAATGATCAATATTTTTTGAGCACATTTTTTGTGTTTTCTCGCGGTTCCCATTAACCGTTCGATGATGAATTTTATAGAAATATGGACGCTTGTAATATCAGACGCACATTCCAGGTTAATTTGAAATCAAAACTAAAAACGATCAATAAATT